TCGAGAAGAGAGAGAGAGAGACATAAAAGAGAGATAGAGAGAAACATAAAAGGGAGAGCTTTATTTGGTGAGAGGAACCGAGAGTAGAGAGAGACAAAGAAGAGAGAGCTTTAATCGAACAGAGAGCTTTGTTAGGAAGAGAGTCTTGCGTTAACGGAAGACAGAGAACAGAGAGCTTTGCTTTATCAGAGAGAGAGACAAAGAAAAGAGAGCTTTTGTCAACGAGGGTCTTCACGCGAGGAGTAGGCTTTATCTCAGAGGAACAGGCTTTTGTCAGGGAGGGTCTTCACGAGAGGAACTTCCCCTTCGAAGTTCCCAATTTGAGTTCCGTCTAAATCGATGGAACTTTCTTTAAGCTTAAATGGGGGAAGATCTACAGTAACATGTAAGTTACCATTTTAACATACTTATATTTATCAAACACGGAACATCTACAGTAACATGTAATTGTCACGACCTCGCCCCCTGGCCCCATACTATACGAGCCGACGGGCGACAGAGTGCGGGACCGCAACGTGAAGTGGCGAATGCCACTCAAGTCGCGGTCCCACACTTTGTCGCCCACCGGCTTGTACGGTATGGGGCCAGGTGGCGGGGTCATGACAATACTTCTAAAGTTCTTGGAAAGCAACTTCCTGTTATCAAACATGGCCAACAAAGTGGCAAATAGTTTATGGGATTTTTCTTCATATTTCGTTATGCGAACGTATATAAAGAGACCATTTATCTTTGGTCCGATGTGGTCACAATTAATCTTGACCATTGAATGTGAAATTGGATGGTTGTATTTATTTCATTGACCAAGTTCAAAATTCAAAAGAAATTTTCTTAAACTTTGTGATATATCTAAGCTATCAGATTTTATATCGGATGGTTGTAAGTAATTGTGATCTCCTTGCATTAAATATAAATGGTCTTATTATATACGATCACTTTGATTATTACATTATTTATTTATTTTTACTGTTGGGATTTTTGTTTTTCCTTTTTTGTTTTTCTTCATTTCTAGCCACCTGAGCCGGCTCCGAATTGGCGAGTCATTGGTTCGACCCATGGGTAAACATCGGTCAAAGATCATCATCATCATCCCACTTATTCAGAGTCGGTTACATAAATCTTGTTCCTCCTTTCTTCTTTATTAATGGCCATCGTTTTTTTTTTTTTAATATATATATCAATGGTCATCCCCTTAGTAAATCAAAAGCCAACATATACCCTAAAAAATCATACTTTTTATGGCTTATGGACGTCGTCTACTCTCTCCATCGCCGTCTTTATTGGACGGTGATGAGGAAGCATATACTACAGCTCAGTAGGTAAATATACTATTTTTTGCCCCCTAAGATTGCAAACAATATGGAATCATCTTTTCATTTAAAATATACTATTTTTTGCCCCCTAAGATTGCAAACAATATGGAATCATCTTTTCATTTAAAAATTGTCTAGAGTCGTAGTGGGTATCATTCTACTAAGATCTTAGAAAAGTCCGCGAAATCAATCATTTTGAATATTTGATTGAAGCAAAAACCACGAGGATCTCGTTCACTCCAAAAAGCTTAACTTCTTAAGCATGGTTAATGGTGGCAGTTGGGTCCCATGGACCCGAGACTCGACAGGTAGACCCGACCCCAGGTGCTGGTATAGGTCTAGGCAGGAAAAATCAGGCGGTTCAAATTTTAACTGCTTGATTAAATCAGAAATGGCCGGTTTCGGTTTCTGTCGATTTTGATGAACTGGCTGGGTATTTTATTTAAAACAAATATAAAATCCTAAAAAACAAAGGATTTTGTTTGTAATGAATTTTATTATTTTTTATTATTTTGGCAAAGATTGGAAATAATTTTTTACTATCAATAGTTCTTTTATATTTTTTTATCTTTTTAAAAATAAATAAAAAATTCCCTTGAGCCGAAATCTATTCTTTAAATTCCATTTTTTCATTAATTTTCAACTTCATGTGGATGTGTTGTGTTTAACCATCCTTTAAGTATATTTTATTATATTTCTTTTGTATGTTTTTATTTTTTAACATTTTTTGAGTGCTCGGGACTTACCGGTTAGGTCTGCAGAACTGACCAGTTTACCGGTTAGTACCAAGGAGCCGCTTCAAGCCACATGTCTAGTTAACCGTTCCGGTTCGATTTTTTGTACGCTAGGTCCAAGGCTTGGACTCAACGGTTCAGGTCCCAGTCCAATAGCTTGGACCTAATTCGAGTCTAGGTCAGGTTGTCCCTTCCAATTCGGGTGTAGGTCTGGGTCTAGGTACTCTCTCTCTTTGATTTTTTAGTTCAATATAAAATTGATTTTCAAGTCGTGTTCGGGTCAGGTTTGATTCCCCATAATCAATTCAAGTCCACGTTCGAGTCTGGGGACTTCGGACTTGATTGGGTCGGGCCCTACAATATAGTTTCAAGCTGATACAAACCCAAATCCGAATCCGATCCCGATCCGACATATTGCCGGCCCTGTCTGCATCGTGTTGAGAGAGAGAGAGAGAGAGAGAAATTGTAAAACAAAACAAAAGGAATGCTGGATGGAAGATGAGGAGCACATTTCAAAGCAAGAAATGAGAAACAAAGAAAATGGTGGAGAGAGAGAGGGGGAGAGGAATGACACTAGCTTGAACTCGGCAGGTCATCGATTTTTAATACATTAAAAATCCAAGCTATACTCGGCAGGTCATGGATTTTTAATATAATTCGGAGTTGAATCCAAGTTATACTCGCTAATTTTAATAAAAAATATTAAAAAAAAGTCATGCTTTTAAACCGGAATTGCTTCTAATCCGAAGCCAATTCAAGCGAATCTAATCACCATGCAACTCAGATGCTTCTTAGTCGGCGATCTTTGAATCCCTACTGGACGAAATTTAACGTTTACTAATGGGTGACTAAACAAACATTGAAGTGTGTAGTTTGTATAAGGCCGAGGCCCTAACCAAAGAAAGTAAGAGGTACCTTTAAATGGTGCCGAAATATGTTATTTGAGTATAAAAATCTTTGTGATGGCCTGAAAATTTAATTTCATCTATAATTAAATTTAAAAATAGTATAGGTTGAATACTTGAAAATCTTGAAAATTGACAGTTTAGATAATATAATACAATAAGCACTATTTCCAAAGGATGGCAACGGGTCAGGTCTAGGTTCAGTCGAACCCGCATTCGCTAGACCTGGACCCACACCCAAATCTATAGTGTGGGACCCAAAACTGGACCCGACCCAAAAATTAACATACCTATGTATTTTAACTATATTTAAATACATTTCATATATTGAGACCCAAAAAATATTACTGGATCTGGACTCCAAATAGTATTCCGGTCCAGGATTTGGATCCAGACTTGACATACCTAGACCCGATCGGGTCTATTGCCACCACTGCTATTTCCAAGACTTGATATTCGTTTTTTTGTCATATTTATACATCTTGAGGTTGAAATGATGGAATTGGAGATTTTTCACCATTGAAATAACCTCTTCTTGTACATTCTTGGGAAAATTGTAGATACCCCCTAAAGTAGAGTTTTCTAGACAATTTCCCCCCAACAAATTTTCTTTTCACAAAATTTATCCTAAAAATTATTTTCTGGCAAATACCCCCAAGTAAAAAAGGTATAGTTATTTGGACCAAAATGCCATTGTCCTTACAAGCTTGCGTCGCATCCTCGTCGGATGCGCAACTGAACATTAACTACCGGATGGCGGTAAAAAACTATCAGACCGGTACAATAAACCCAATTGCAAAATGCGTTGTTGCCGAACCGTGGTCCCTCAACCTATTCCAGTAGTTTAAGTGCTAGATAGAGGTAGAAAAATGCCGGACAGAAGGCATATTGTGCTCGATAGAGTAAAACAACTGTCTGACCCCTTCGAACAATCGCCAGACTGCCTTTCCTTTTGCCTGACTGATAGCCTAAACAAGAGACATCTATCGGACTGAAAGTTGGATGTGCCGAACCTTCTTTCCTATTGCCGAACTGAGACCACAGTGTGGAAAGGGGTAAAGATCAAGGGAGGCTATTTTGGTCATCATCTATTTTTTTGACTCAAGAGTATTTACTAAAAAAGTTAAATTTAGGGTAAAAGTTAGGGAACAATCTCCTTATCCCTTATTTTTATCTTTCATATCTCATAAGACTCTAGAATTGAAAATATTACTTGTAAACAAAATGCTTCCATCTTTTTTATCTTACAACCCCCTAAACCCCTTTGACCATAAATTTTTGATCCAAACAAACACCAAAATGACACCATATTCAAACTCCATTTCTCTCTTTTTAAAACTCCATCTTTCTTTCTTCACTTCTCGATAAGTTTACCAG